CATCCATCCATCCAACCATCCAACCATCATCCATCCATCCATCCAACCATCCATCCATCCATCCATCCATCCATCCATCCATCCATCCATCCATCACCCATCCATCCATCCAACCATCCATCCATCCATCCATCATCCATCCATCCATCCATCCATCCATCCATCCATCCATCATCCATCCATCCATCCATCCATCCATCCATCCATCCATCATCCCTCCCTCCCTCCCTCCATCCATCATCCATCCATCCATCCATCCACCATCCACCATCCATCCATCCATCCATCCATCCATAACAAAGGAGGGTGAAGTTGTTCACCTGCTTCTGAGGTTTTTCTCTGGGCTCTCATAGTAGAACAGGAAGTTGATTTCATGGACTCCTTCCTGGTCTGGTCCTCGGAGCCACAGAGGCAGCTGTACGGACTCCCCTGGCTGCAGCGTGCCGCCTCGGATGGGGATCTCCATCACCCCGGAGGCCTGGCTGAAGTCAGGGGCGGACACCAGCGTCTCGGGGGCCGGGGCTCCTGGCTGGGGGGGTGCGGGAACGGTGACGTAAGCCGAGCAGTTCTCAGAGGAGGCTGGGCTCGGCGGGGTGGCGGCGTCCTGGCTGCCGAACGTGAAGAAGTCAGGGTGCGTGGACGCCACCCGGAGGCCGCACAGAGCTACTGCGCTGACGTTACAGAACTCCACGTAAGCTTTTTTGATCTCACCACACAGCAGAGCGGTGGGGAACTGCAGGAAGAACACCTGCAGACACAAACACACAACTTTTTATTGATCCACGATCAGACAGCATCCATTAAAGCCTCTACCAGATGAAAATGGCGGGTTCTTCAAACACGGGAAGACTTCCTGTTGGTAAAAAAAGCTGAGTCTGTTCCACTGATCTCTATTCACTGGATGGCTGATAGCTGCTGGTAGTGCAGGGCTGAAGTGAAGCTACCGGCCGCCATATTGGTACTCCCTAGTTGACAGGTTGTGATGTAAACAATCGATGCTCTGCAGCATCAAACAACCAGGATGTTCTCATCTTCAGGGACTGAAGACTAAAAATAAAGATTCCTCACTTTGACACAGACTTGCTGTTTGATTGCATCAGTAGATTAACTTTAACTTAGAATAAATAAGATAAATAAATAAACAGGCCGATCACATTGCAGTCATTATGACGTCTATGAATCATCTAATATAAATAAATCACAATAACATTAATGCATCAGAATAATACAGATGAGCCAAAAGTGATAAATTGATGATGTTCATGTAATAAACATGGATTGATGACATTGTTGTTATATATCTGTAAATATTACAGATAATTTAAAGATTTCACCTCAGGACTGAATTAGCAGTCTATGTCTGTTGATGCTGCAGTATTTTCTGCAGATGGTGAATGAATGAAGCCGTAGACGTTATGCTGTTTCTGTTAATTAGCCTTTAATCTGTAATTGTACAATAAAAATTAACTCTTGTTTCAGCATACAGTAACCAGCACTGTACTGTACTGCACTCCATATTTTAATACTTATTTATAATCTGTTCACTGCACCTCAGGACTGTTCACTGCACCCTTATAATGTAAATACGTGTGGATGTTATGTTATTTTTACTTTTTCTTATCTTATTGTGTTGTGACTGTCACTATGTGTAAAGCTGCTGCTACACTGCAATTTCCCAGCTTGGGATAAATAATGTACATCCATCTATCTATCTATCTAAAAATGTTTCAGCTGCTTTTTCCATCAATATAACCTGTAATATATTTCAGTTCATGAGTTTTTCAAATGAGAAATAAACCAAACGCTCCAAAAACGACATTATCATCAGCTGAATAAAGATTCACTACTTTAACATTTCACAGTGAATGACTTTCTATTTCCTCTACTTTCTATTTTCTAACTTTAGACCCAATGTCAGTGGCTAACTCAGTCAATGTCTTCCAGTCAGACTGAGATAGCCAGACTAATGTTAGTCTGCAGACTAATGTTAGTCTATAGATGGATTTATTGCTTAGTTCATCCACTGACTGGGAAATGACCAGTGGAACGTCTTCCTGCAGACAGATGCTGCACAGGGAGGCATTTTACTGCATGGAGTGGGGAGTACCAAGATGGCTATGATCTGGGCTATGCACTGGTACTTAAACATTCCATCAGAGCCCTGAGTACAACCGGTATGGACTAGGGTTGTCACGACACTAAACTTTTCAACTCGATACCGATACTAAGGAAAATATTCGATACTCAATACCATTTTCGATACCACAAGGATAAAAACAGACTCCAAAAGTCTACAGAAATATTTTCATTAATAAATAAAATATAATAAATAAACACAATAAAGGTTGTATGCTGTGCATAATATTAAGCAAGCTTGATAAAAAACTTATAAAATTCAAATTAAGTGTTCCTTCCTTGGCTATGCTTTGCACACATAACAGTGACACTAGCCAAACCAGTTAAGAAACAAAAATAATTCTCAGCAGCTGCACCTCTTACAAAAAAAAAGTCTGAAACTGAAAAGAGCACAGAATTATTTAATCACACAGTGTTCTGAAAGTGCATTTTCCTCTATTCTGCACTTTAGATGAATGACTGCTTAGGTGCCACTGGTGACGGCACTGTATCGATACTTTTAAAAACGAGTATTGTATCCGGATACAACATTTCAGTATCGATACTTTTTTGAGTTTCGATACTTTTGACAACCCTAGTATGGACTAGGGGTGTAAATCACATCCATCATGGCGATATGATTCAGTATCGATTTCCTGACCCAACGATTCAATTATTTTCGATACTCAAGAATACACCACGATACGATTCGATTCCATTAATTGGTTAATCGGTTCCTATTTCTTTTTTTTGTTTTTTTTTAACCTTACAGACTAGACAATGTTTCAAATTTGAAATAAATCAATGAAAGCTGTAATATCGTTATGCATTTTTTTTTTAGAAACAACAGCTAATAACAGAGGTAGAGAAGTTTTACTCCACCTATTCCTATTAAAGCCTCATTCACTGAACAATAATAATCCCCTGCGTTATAGATTCTGAAAGGCCTTGCATCAAAAATACTGCACTAAATCAGTGCAATGAGTGCAATGCAATACCTCTGCTCCAGACGTCCCGCCCCCTCCACAGACGCTCCGCTGCTCCTCTCCCAGATTGTAGCTGACCGCAGACAGGAGGCCGACTTGGTTTGTTTTTATGACCGAAATTGCGGAAAACAACTCGTGAAGTTTGACCCTCTAGAAGAGCGAGGTGCGCGAGAACGCTGGGACCTTTTTTCCACCTGGATCTCCGCTCTTTTTGGCCCTCGTGTCCCTCCGTCGTCGGACTAAACTCGCCCCCACTTCCTCGCTGCCTCGGCCGTATCTAGACCCACAGCGTGTAGAACAGACCACGCTTCAATACTGAGCATAATTTAAAAATGTCTGCATCAAGCTCACTGCAACACACTGCTGTAAGAGTATAACCAGGAAGCGCGGTAGGAGGGCAAAATAGGTTTAGCGCCACCGCAGCACGGGAGGAAGAATTACGCCCAGGAGCAAATGGATAAAAATAGACCGGAGGAAAAAAAAAACAAAAAAAACAATCGATTCTATTGCGGACGTATCAATGCATTGGATCGTCGGCTGTTGGATCGATTATTATTTACATCCCTAGTCTGGACTGACTAATAGATCCATATAAGAGGCGCTATAGATTAGAAGGCATACTGCCGTTTGTTAAAAGTTAAATGCTTTTCTATGCGCCTTATAGTCCAGAAAATATGTAGAAGGTTTGATTTTTTCAGAGATTTAAGCCTCATTTCTTATCAGAAACTAACTTCATGGCTGATTAAACAACTATTTAAATCAGCCAAAGCTTTGGTTCATCAGAACCTAACCGATAAAACTTTGGAATGGGCCGACGGGCCTCAGGACCGCTGGGCCGACGGGGCGATGTTAATGTCTGCCTCATTAATTGACGTACGATTACTACGTTTCGCTCCCTGCTAAGCAGTTTACTCCATGGTGAGCTGAAAACTCGCTGCCCTGCAGCCCTATGGCTGTTGGGGCAGATTAAGGAGAGCAGAGGAGGTTTCTATGCGCTTGTTTAGGCGACAACATTAGCATTTTAACTCTGTAGGTTAGCGTAATTACCAAAACGTCGCTGCAGCCAGATGTATTTGTTATGTTATTTAAAAATGAACCAGCCTTCCATTAGCCAGGGCGTTTCCACTCAGCCCTTTGCAGCCGCTGGTTTTATCTGTAGCACTGAAAACTAATGACCTAAAAACAGTGAATGCATCTATCCTGCTCCAGCTCAGCCTTCAGATTAAAGTTAGACATAAAGCAATAACTGTGGTTTACCTCCATCAGGGGCATAGGGGGCGTGATGATGGGCTCCAGGCGGCGATCTGGACCATGTCGGACCAGCATCTTGTCTTCCTTGGTCAGGTTCAGCCGTGGACCCTGGATCTTCAGGTCCTGCCTGCCTCGGACCATCATGGACTCTGACGTCTGCTGCCCTGAAACAGGAGAACGTCATGAGGAGGAGGACCATGTGTTTACGGTCCATCAGAACGGCGCTCGCTGCAGAAGCACGCCGTCCCGGCAGAGCCGGTTTACCTTCAGGGTCTGAGGACGGTTCCCCAAAGTGGGACGACGTCAGGTTGTAGACGACTGCCACGATGTTCAGCTGACCTGTTCTGTGTGGCAGCAGCTTCAGTCGGGCCTGAGATCCACGGAACCGGTCCAATTCATTCACAAAGACCAGATCCAGTTACAGCGCTGCACCTGCAGCTAAACCCCAGAAGTTTCCCCACCAGCAGGACCATGAGAAACTCACCGTCTTGGTCTCCTCTGGCCCCAGGTAGAACTCTCTGATGGTCTCTGTCGTCACCGGCTCGTCCCTCTGCGTCAGGAACACAGGACTTAGAGGGAACAGGGACAGTTCTGCTCCTGCTTCCCCCACAACGCTCACCTGGCCTGCTGCCGCATCGTCACTGGCGACGGTCACCTCCTCTCCCGAAGGCGCGTCGGCGGTGAACCTCCAGAGGAGGGAGAGGTCGGACAGAAGCAGCGCCACCTTCAGGGGGTTCCTGAGCGTCACCTCCACGATGATCGGCTCTGTTCAGGAGGACAGAGCCGTCAGACACCGTCTAACCAACACGCTCCCTCAGAGGGCAGATACTGGATGGGCCGACCGGCCGGTCGCCGTGGCGACGACCATCTTACCCTGGACCACAGCCAGCGGGTGATGGAGGTTGTCGGTCTGGTGGTTCAGGCAGCACTGGGTCGGCTGGAAGGTGTTTGGAAGAACTCCCTGATTGGCTGAGGCCACCAGCTGCTCCTCCAGCCGGCACCAGAGGAGGGACAGCTCCTGGTCGTACTCCTGGTCCAACGAGACGTGGGTGGCTGCCTGCTTCTCTCCTTAGACAGACAGATCAAAGGTCAGAGTTCACATCGGGTCTCATCTCACTGATAACAGCAGGAAGCTGAACCTGGTTAAACCTCCATGGCTGATTTATTTATGGAGTCTGAAGGATCCTGGTTCATCTGGAGCCTGGAGGCTAAACTGGTTCCTGAAGCTGGTCTAGTCTGAACACTGCAGCGCCACAGAGACCGGGCCAACGCCTTACCTTCTGCGAGGCGGCGCTCATGTCCAAAGTAGACCCTGGTAGCAGCGCTGTGGATGTAGGGCAGCGGGAGCTCAGGGAGGCGGCTGTCCGTTCCCCCGAGGAGACTCTGAGGAAACGGGAGGAGGTCAATCAGAAAAACCATAACAGAACATTTATGCTAACAGCTGATTAGGAGCTGCTGCAAATTCAGAGGTTTTTAAGCTATAAATCACCCAAAGTTTTCACACCTGTTTAGGGATAAGGATTGATCTAAAAATGTAAAAAGCTTTGAAGTTTGAAAGGACGGACGGTTAAAGCCAGAACCAAACTCTGGTCTCTGATTAGACCAATTAATCATCCTCTGTCCTTTAGATCGTTTTAATCCTAACCATCCCTGAGCTGATGCCTCTGCAGCTGAGCAGCAGCCATCGCTGACAGCCTCCCAGAACCACTATGACCTTTCAGAGTGAAAACGTTCAGCCAGCAGCAGCGCTCCGTCTCTGTGGCTCACCTTCACCACGTACAGGTACTCTCTGAGGAAGGCGGCCTGCTGCGTGGCGGTCTGCCTGCTGTCGTTGATCAGGATCTGTCTGAAGGCCAGCAGCGCGCTGTCCGGTTGGCCCAGGGTGAAGGACTGCCGGCCGATGGTGAAGTTGATGTGGTCCTCTGCCAGAGACCAGCCCCGGTCCTGGTAGACCTGCATGGCCTGACTGTAACAGCGCAGCGCGTGTTTCCTCTGCAGGGAGAAAGACACAACCGCCGCAGGAAGGACAGAGGGATGAGGAGGAGTCTCTGATTCCAAAGATGGCGTCTGTCTGAGTAACTAGAGAGAAACCAGCAGCTCCTCCACCATTGATTGACTGATTCATTGATCTCACAGTGGAGAAATTTAGTCGTTACATCAGTTCAAAAAGTCAAAGGAGATGCATATAAAACACTGCTCAGAAAAATGAAAGGAACACTTTAAAAACACATCAGACCTCAGTGGGAAAAAACATCCTGCTGTTCTTTATCCTGATGTGTTAGGAACAAAGGACGCTCCATCATTGGATGAAAATGATCAACCTACAGAGGGCTGAACTCAAAGACACCCCAAACATTAAAAAATGATGCAGCAGGCTATAGTCCATTTAGCTGAAATTTAATTGCAGCAACTCAAAATGGTATTCAGTCATTTGTATGCCCCCCACATGCGTCTATGCATGCCTGACAACGTCGGGGCACGCTGCTAATGGTCCAGATCTGGACCAGAGCATCACTGAGCTCCTGGACAGTCTGAGGTGCAGCCTGGCGGTGTGGGATGGATGGAAACATAATGTCCCAGAGGTGTTCTATTGGATTTAGGTCAGGCGAGCGTGGGGGGGGGGGCAATCAATGGTAT